CCCAGAGCAGTCCCTGTCCCCCATCCCATCCCATCCCATCCCATCCCATCCCATCCCATCCCATCCCATCCCATCCTCATTTCATCTTGTCCCATGTTGTCCTGTCCCATCCTGTCCCTATCCCATCTGATTCTGTCCCATTCCCATTTCATCTTGTCCCGTAACACCCTGCCCCATTCCATCCTGTCCTGTACCATCCCACTGCCTTCCCTTCTCATCCCACAACTTTCCTATCCCATTCCATCCTGTTCAATGCCATCCCCTCCAGTCCCATTCCATTCCCATCCTGTACCATTCCCTCTTATTCTCTCCAATTCCCATCCCATCCCCTCCAGTCCCATCCCACCCCATTATCCCACCATCCCTCTCTCCCACTCACCCCCTCCTGCGCAGGTACCACCAGGCTCCGTCCAGGCGCCCCCCGCTGCAGCCGCGCTGGTTTCGGGTGTCACAGGACAGGAGGTTTTGTGGGGACAGCGCGGGGGTCATGTGGCCCATGGAGTGGATGGAGATGCGGTCCGAGGCCACGGCTGGGGAGGGGCCGTGGGTCAGGGGGAGGACGTCCCATCCCTGTCCCCAGTGTCCCCGCAGCTCAGGGGGAGGTGGCTCTGTCCCTGTCCCCTCTGTCCCTGTCCCCGCTGTCCCCACAGCTCAGAGGGACTTGGCGCCATCCCTGTCCCCGCAGGTCAAAGGGAAGTGGCTCCATCCCCATTGTCCCCGCTATCCCCCCTGTCCCAGCTGTCCCCTCACCGGCCGTGGAGAAGGCCCAGGAGCCGGCGCAGTTCCCCTGGTCCAGGGGCTCGTGGATCATCCCAGGCCACTTCTCGGCGGCATCGAAGTGACGCGGCAGCACCTCGTTGGAGTCCATGTTCATCTGTGGGGCAGAGATGGGGGGCTCAGCCCAGCGGGACCCCCCAGCTCCTCCTGCCACCCCAGCTATCCTGAGATGGTCCCCAGTGAGCTCTAGTGTCCCCAGCCCCACTATGGGACTCCCAGAGCTCTTCCTGCCATCCCAACCATCCTTTGAGGGTCCCCATTGAGCTTTAGTGTCCCCAGCCCCACTGTGGGACCCCTCAGGTCAGGGACATCACCCTGACTGACAAAAATTTGGGTTCCCCTTTATCCCAGAAAGGCCAAACCCCTCAATTTCCCCTAAATTTGGGCTCCACAGCCTCAGCAGCTCCTTGGAGCACACCAGCACTGAGTGTCCCATCCCAGAGCCCAGCAGGGCCCTCGGTGGCTGCCCCGAGGGGACAGCCCAGGGTGACACAGCCCCTCAGGGTGGCCTCTGGCCCTGCCTTTCCTCCCTGGATCAGGACAGTGTCCCCACCCTGGCCTTCCTGGGGTGGACACGGCCACAATCGCCCGCAGGAAACGCCTCTAAAATTAGACCTGGGGCTGGGGGTGCACCAAGCCCTGCTGTCGCAGACAGATTTTCATGAAAATCCTTTCCTTGGGATTTTTTTCCTCCTGAGAAGCTGAGAGGCCTCAGGAACAAAATATAAATAATTATTATCTGCTGCTGTGGAATGCAACAGGTGCATCTGGGATTGGCCTAATGTTAATTGTTTCTAATTAATGGCCAATCACAGCACAAACTGTCCGAGCCACAAACCTTTGTTATCGTTCTTTTCTATTCTATTCTTAGCCAGCCTTCTGAGATGAGACCTTTTCTTCTATTCTTTTAGTATAGATTTAATGTAATATATATATCATGAAATAATAAATCAAGGCTTCTGAAACATGGAGTCAAATTCTCATCTCTTCCCTCATCCAGAGACCCCTGTGACCACCATCACACCCTGCCAGCCCCCCAGGGACCCCCGGGGGGTGCCCAAGCCGGGTTTGGGTGCAGGGAGAAGCAAAGAGAGGCAGCTCTGCTGAGTCAGCAGCGTCGGGCTCGGCGTTCCGATGGGAAACCAGTGCGGAGGAGAGGGGGAAAAAACAACACTGGCAGCGCGGGGATTGTCCGGGGGAATTTGCTGAGCCGCCGTCTCCAAACACGAGGGCTGCCCTGCCTGCCCCCTGCTCTGGGAGCCCCTTCCCAGCCATGGCCGTGCCTCAGTTTCCCTCCCCGCGGGCACTCACGTGCATCTCGTTCATGTTCATGACGGTGGCAGAGGGACGGAAGGTGCCCAGGCGGTGCCGGATCCCGTCCTCCAGGGTCATCCCCCAGAACTGGCTGTAGTTGGCGGCTCTCCAGCTGCGTGGGGAGAGGGGGGCGCGGCTCAGGGGTCACCCCAAAAAGCAGCGAGGGGTGCAGCATCCCTGTGCCTGGTCCTTACCCGTAATTGCCCCTGTTGACGGCATCGATGAGCTCCCCGTCCATCAGGCAGGCGTGGTCCTCGCACTGCCACTGCCCGCCCGGCCCGCAGGTGCTGCAGAGGGGACAATAGGGGAGAAATGATGTCCCCACAGTGACCAGGGGGACACTGAGCGGGCGCTGCCCCTCCCAAACTGGCTGCTTTTGATAGGGGTCACCAGAGCTTGGCACCTTGCAGTGGGGTGAATCCATGGGCAGCCCTTTGGGTGACACTGAGTGGCCTCTGGGTGACACTGAGTGGCCTCTGGGTGACCCTGGGAGCTGTCCCCCCCTGCCCCAGCCCCCACAAGAGCCCCGAGGGCAGCCAGGCCATGGGACAGAAAATCAGCTGAAAAGCTGCCAGGGCTGCAGACATCAGAGAGGGGCTTGGACAGCAGCCCAGGGCTGGGGGTCAGGGCTGGGCGTCCCCATGGGTGACCCACAGTGACCAGGGCACTCCATGGGGACAGCCGGGCCGGAGGGGGGGGTTCTGGGGGTGTGGTGGGTCCCCTGGGGAGCCCCGGGCTGTGCTCCCCCCGTGCAGTGAGCAATGCTTGGCATGCTCACATCCCGGCACATTTCCCTTTTATGGAGCTGAGCGAGGCCGTGGCCGTGTCCTGCCAGACACCCCCATCCCGATCCTGGCCGGCAGCACCTGGATTCCAACCTTCCCCCATCCATCCCTGAGCGATCCTGGAGCTCTGTGTGACACCTGGGGGCTTGGGAGCACCTCAGGGTGCCACACACACCTTGTGTCACCCCGCCATGGGTTTTGTCCCCTGGTACTCCCGCAGCAGGACCCCAACAGGGACAGGGGTGGAAGTGACACTGCAGAAATTCCTTTTCTCTAGGGACGAAGTGTGGGGGAGAGGGTTTGGAAGGGTTAGGAAGGAAAGAGATGGGTCAGAGATGCTCCCCCAACAGCAGAGATGTGACATCCACCTGCGTGGCTTGGGGACATTGACATTCCCAGGGGAACAGGGACACCCTCCATCCCTGAGTGCTCCGTGCCACAATCTCAGAGAAACTCCCCAGAGCTGTGGGGAGGCTCGGGCTGGCTTTTCACCTGCAGCCCCGGTGCTCTGTGTGACACCTGGGGACTTGGGAGCACCTCAGGGTGCCACCAGATGGGTGCCACACACACCTTGTATCACCCCACCATGGGTTTTGTCCCCTGCTACCGCACAATGGGACCACACCAGGGGCAGGATGGGGGTGATGCTGCAGAAATTCCTGTTCTCTAGGGACCAAGTGTGGGGGAGAGGGTTTGGAAGGGTTTGGAAGGGTTTGGAAGGGAAGAGATGGGTCAGAGATGCTCCCCCAGCAGCAGAGAGGTGACATCCACCTGCGTGGCTTGGGGACATTGACATTCCCAGGGGAACAGGGACACCCTCCATCCCTGAGTGCTCCATGCCACAATCCCAGATAAACTTCTCAGAGCTGTGGGGAGGCTCGGGTTGGCTTTTCACCTGCAGCCCCAGCACACTCACATGTTCCCACACGTGCCCCTGCCCTGCACACGCCCCAGACGCTGCCTTTGATTTCCCCTTATCTGCAGCATCGCCCCTCGGGCTGCAATCCTCGTCTCCAATCCCCCCACCTCCGCATGCCAGCAATACCAGTACAGAACACCAGCATTCCCAGTTAACCCCGAGCTCCGGGAGTGCCCAGCAGCACAGAACCCCCGTCAGGCTTGGGCAAGCTGGGCTGGGACCAGCGTGGCCAAAACGCCCCTGGGCAGCGCCGGCTCCCACGCAGGCATGAACTGAAACTTGGGAGAGGCTCAAGGCCCTTTTTGGCTCCGGATTTTTGTTGGAGCAAAGGCATTTTGGCAGCAGCTCCCACCACCCAGCTCGGGCCTCGCTCTCTGAGGTTTACAGGAGCATGACACCTTCCTCTGGTGACGTGCTGGTGACATGCCACAGGTCACACTCACCACAGGTTGCAGTTCTCCCGGTACGTGGCTCCTGTGGGGTAATTGTGTCCTGCTCGGGCACAGCCTGTATGGAAATGGGAGAGCCCCTGGTGAGTGTTTGGGGTCCCGCCAGCCCCCCAAATTCCCGGGGGGGGCAAACCAAAGGTAAAATCAACGTGGTTCTTAAATCCAGGCTGCACCTGGGGGTCAGTGGGTGCAGGGTGGGAGCCTGGCTCGGCGCTGGGAGGGTTAAATGTGCTCAGCCTGGCGGGACAGGGATAAAGGGGCCGGTTGTGCCCGGGAGCTGGCTCTGCTCCGCTGCTGGGACTTGTGAGAGAGCCTTGTGCTGGGAGCTGGGGGCTGCCCGCAGGGTTAAACCAGGGCCAGCATCTGCCTGCCCCAGACGTGACCGGGCAAGCTGGGATGGCATCGCCTCATGTCCCCTCGTGTCCCTGCAGGCACTGATGGGAACGGGCTCTGGGGTCATGGGCTGCTCCCACACCTCTTTTTGAGGGAATCCATCCCCATCCTGGACATTCTGTAGCAATTCCTAAAATTTTGAGGAGTCTGAGCAGCTCTGCAGTGAGGGCAGCACCACATCCATCACCCCAGGGCTGAACCCCAGCACCTGCAGCCTCACCTGGGGCTTTGGGGAAGGGCGCCGGGATTCCCAGGCAGTATTCCCAGAAGTCGGGGCAGCAGTCGGACACGGTGCGGTTGCAGAAGAGGTCGCAGTAGCACAGCGTGTCGTGGTAGGGCACGGTGCAGCCGTCGTCNCCCCAAAACTCACCCAGTATTTTTGGGTCTGGCCATCAGGCAGCTGCTCCTCTCCCCACCTGCAGAGGGACAGGACAGTGAGGGGGAGTCCCCAAGCACCCCCAGACCGTGGGGTCCCCCCAAGCACCCCCAGACTGTGGTATCCCCCCCAAGCACCTCCAGACTTTGGGGTCCCCAAGCACCCCCAGACTTTGATACCCCCAAGCTCTCTGAGACTGTGGTGTCCCCAAGCACCTCCAGAATGTGGGGTCCCCAAGCTCCCCCAAACCGTGGTGTCCCCAAGCTCCCCCAGACTTAGGGGTCCCCAAGCTCCCCCAGATTGTGGGGTCTCCCCAAGCACCCCCAGACTTTGGGATCCCCAAGCTCCCCCATACATTCGGGTCCCCCCAGGCTCCCCCACACTTTGGGGTCCCCCCACCCAGCCCCGTGGTGGGATTGGGGCACGGGGGGGGCTGACCCTGCTCATTTCCTGCCCTGGCAGCTCCCCAGGGCCATCCGGGGTTGGGACATCCGCTCCAGGAATAGGGGCAGGAATATTTAGCCACGGCAGGAGGAAGGAAACACGGACACAGGGCAGATCCATCCCCATCCTGGGGGTCTGCACCTCCAAACACCCCCTTTTACAGGGTGCTGAGTGCCACACTCTGTCCCTCATGCCACCAATCCCCTCCCTGCTCGGGGACACTCAAAGGGAACATTTCTGCCACCCTGAATGGGATAGGGAATGGGATAGGATGGGAAAGTTGTGGGGTGGGATGGGAAGGGAGTGGGATGGGACAGGACAGGATGGGATGGGGCTGGGTGCTATGGGACAAGGTGAAATGGGAATGGAAGAGAATTGAATGGGGTGGAACACGATGGGATGGGAATGAATGGGATGGGATGGGATGGGATGGGATGGGATGGGATAGGATAGGGTGTCATGGGACAAGATGAAATGGGAATGGGGCAGAATCAGATGGGATGGGATGGGATAGGGACAGGGTGGGATGGGACAGGACAATATGGAACAAGATGAAATGGGAATGGAAGAGAATTGGATGGGGTGAAACACGATGGAATGGGATAGGAGGAGATGGGATGGGGCAGGGTGTTATGGGACAAGATGAAATGGGAATGGAAGAGAATTGGATGGGGTGGAACAGGATGGGATGGGA